CAGGTGGCATGGTGGCTAAGGGCACTGGACTCCCACTTGGCCGACCACGGTTCGAGTCCTGGACCTGGTAGTTTGCTTTCTCACTTTCCATCTCTCACTTTCTCTCATTCTGTACCTCTCTGGTCAAATTAAAATAAATAAAATTTTTAAAAAGATATAAAAAATCATAAATAAGTTAATGCAGATGAACATATTCAGAATGATTCTGATCTGACTTAAAAATCAATACAGCATCCTTTTCATTCCCAGTCACCATATCAGGTAGGTTCTGGGCCCCTGGGTTGACCTTTTTCTTTGGTCACTGGATTAATGTCATCTGGAAATTTTTCTAGCAGTTCTTTCTCTTAATTGGAACCCTCTGGTGCATCAAAACAGCCTTTTGGTAACTTTGGCTTCCTAAGGGATTGTTTGACAGATTCAGGGTTTCTTTTTGAAAAGAACTTGTTTTCCTCAAAGAATGACACAGAAGACATGAATTTGCCACTCTCCTAATCGTGACCAGCATGTGGCCAACTAGCCAAGCAAGCCCAGATGCAGTCATGGTGGTGACTGCTGCAGACTATTTTTATTTTTTTAATTTGACCAGAGAGAGAAGGAAAGTAAGAAAGCCAGCTGCCAGGTCTGGGACTTGAACTATGGTCAGCCATGTGGGAGTCCAGTGCCTTAACCACCATGTCACCTGCCAGCCCCAAGGCATATGATCTTAACTTGTCTCATTATTGGTAATGCTAGTTTTAGTTATTTAATTGAAGTTGTGCCTTCCAATTTTTTATGCTATAAAGTTACTGTTTTTCCTTTAGTAGTTAATAAATAATTTGTGAAGAATACACTGAGACTACATGAATATACTGTCTCTCCTTGAACTTTCACCACTAAGGTTTTATATCCATTTATGATATTTGCCTAAATCAATTATTGATATGAAATTTGTAAAATGGTGATTTTCTAACTGTAATTCCTTCAATATTTAATAACAAGTATTCTACTGTAGGAACTAATTTTATTTTCTCCTCTGCTTATTAGCAGTATAGATTCATGGATTTAATAGATTATAATCCATTGCTGTCATGACTTATTTTAATGATCAGTATTTCCAGACATGTCCAATAGGATTCCCTTAAAGCTGGTTCCTATATCATTTTGAAATATTTTTATTCTTTGCTGAGTAGATCTTTATTTTATAACAGAAAATGTTCAAGGCTCATCTTATACTTTCCCTGTCCAACCACTGAAATCAGTCATTTCTCTAAAAAGAGCCCTAATAATTTTTCAGTGGGGATAGCATATAACAACCTAGATTTGGGTACTAGTTATGCTCATTGCTATTGGGATTTCCTTGCTTCTAGTCCTTTAAATGAATAGACTAAGGAATATGTTATGAATAATTTTATAATGATACCTCCAATTCCTGTCCAACCACAACAAGTTTTTTACTTTCTCTCATTTTATACTTGTATCTTTTTTCTACAGCGAGAATCCTGATGCTCACCAATATCAATTTTTTTACATATATTTTCAGAATTGCTAT